AAAATTTGCATCTTCTTCTGATGACGTCTCTGATCACAACGGTGTTGCATACGTTTAAATTTAAGTGAGTTTCAATTTGTCAGTCGTGCAATTGAGTAAATGAGCAGATGATTTTGTTGTTACACTTGAGAACAACCCAGAAGTCCTCGTGAAGACCTCCGCTTCCTGTTTTTTACACACAACCCCATTTGTCTTTGCTTGCAACTGAAAACAATGTCGTCCCATTTGGCGTTTTTCCTCCCAGCAGCTTAAAGCGTCACGAACCATTTTTCCTCCCTCAGGACAACTGTGGATATTCTGTCGTGATGTGTGTGTGTGTGTGTGTGTGCGCGTGTGTGTGTGTGTGTGTGTGTGTGTGTGTGTGTGTGTGTGTGTGTGTGTGTGTGTGTGTGTGTGTGTGTGTGTGTGTGTGTGTGTTGCTCCCTTTTGGCACCTGCTACCCTCTAATGGAGAGTGAGGGGCGAAGGAGGGGATGGAGGAGGTGGAGGGAGCTGGGTTGCCAGAGTACAGGTTAATCCACTAATTGGGAGCAAAGGGAGATGGGTTGCCAGATTGTGATGGCCACCAGGAGGGGCCGTTTAAGGTGGACATCTGTTCCTGCTGGAGAACAGCCACCCTCACAGTTCCCCTAGGTTCCTCCAGGACACTCATCTTCTTTGTGCACAGACCTGACAGTGATGAGTGCGGTGCATCCAACTCATGCTGCTTTTTGTTCCCGCCTGGACCGAAAACAGAGATCTGGTTGGGAAACAGTTGAAAGCGGTGGAGTTTTCATTATAGATAGGGGAGAAAGGTTGAAACGTAGAGCTAAAAATAGCAGAATGTGATTGAATTCAGGAATTATGGCCAACGTGTTTTATCACCTCATATGATGTTTTTGCATCTATCAAACCTACTGCAGTTCATATGAAACATGTAAAAATGCACGATTATAATTGTAGACGGTGACGTTTATGTGATTTTATTAGCTGCAGCATATTTAAGACTCTTGCCTTTTGTTTCTAGCAGGATACCATTCCAGGCAGAAAGCACCTGCAGCAGGCAAAATGCATGATCTGAAATATTTAAAATTTAGTTTTACAAATACGTCAGCAGGTAGAAAATGCGTGCGGGACATTTTAAGCCCTAAAGGAGACACAGACAGTGTTTCAGTGATTAATACTTAATGAAAAGTTGTCTGCAAGACAAATTCTTGGTTTTCCAAAAAAAAAAACATCCAACAGAAATTCCTGCAACAAAGAGAGAAAAAGAAAGTTGACTCCATTCTTTGACATTAAATTTGTATTTTTTAAAGTTATTTTGCTTTTTTTTATGTGCAAAAAAGTAAATTTTTAATGCAATTGTTATGAATCAAAAGGGTCAATTTTCACCATCGAATTGACACAGCATAACCTTTCATACACGCCAGAGCTGCAAAGACAAGGTTACACCAGCTGGAGGATCCAGACGCACAAATCAACCTTTTGCTCACTTATCGTTCTTCAACGCAGACATGCAGTGTGTCCGAATCCACAGGAAGGATGCTTAAGAGTACGGGACCTCGCCGGTCTAGCAAGACCGGGTCCTTGCCAGACCGCTAAGACCGGAACCAGCGGCTCTGAATTCGGACAGTCTAGCCTTCACCTCTACGGTGGCCCGTAGGTCCCGTCACAGCCGTGGCGGCAGCTACACGCAAAGGAAAAATGCTAAAGCTAGCGAAAATGGAGCAGGAATATTAAGGAGCTGCAGCAGCTTCACGTCCATCAGCAGCGTTTGTTCACAACCGTTTTCAGGTAAAGTAACTTTGTTTATTCTAGAAGCTTTCAGGACTTACATGCTAACTTTAGATGGTTTCATGTTTGTTTTAAGCTACAGAATGAACTTGTTAAACGTACACAACACATTACTACAGAGTATTATCATGTAGGTAATTAATATAAACCAAATGCATTATAAATGTTGAATGCAGTAGGATGTTTTCTAATGTAAATTGGACCTTAGAACTTATTTTGCATCAAATGAGGGTAAAACATTTTAAAAAACAGGCTTTTTAATAAAATAGCATAGAAGTGTTTTCAATGTGCATTTGTTTATTCTACTTAAGCCTAATAATGATTAGATCTGTCTTAAAAATGTAAATTCTCTGTAGTTTTCCCTGCTGCTTTTCTTTAAACTGAACAGAACCAGTGTACTGCAGGTTATATGTTTGTTTTACATTTTTCTATAAAAAACTTATTTAATCTATTACAGGTCAGCATGCACTGTGCTGCACATCTGCCTCTGTGCTGGTGAAGTTGTGGGTCTGGAGGATGAGCGTGAGGAAGATGTGTGTGGAGGAGGTCAGTGGTGCTCTGTCCTGCAGGAGGTACCAGCAGACCACCACTACTGTTAACAGGCAAGTCATTCACAGAGACGTAACAGCTGTCGTCTGAGCCAGCCCAGCAGGCCCTGTAGATGGACGATGGAGTGGACAGTGAGAGGAAGCGTCCCAAAGCTCTCTCTGCAGACCGTCCTGTATGATGTTCCTCTGGCCAGAAACGTCCAGCCACGGGTCTGCTCCAGCCCTCCATCCACGTCTGGATCCTCCTGCAGCAGATCCAGCTGCACTGTTAAAGACTTCCTGCTCACTCAGTTTAAATAAATGATCCAGGAAGAGTCACTCAGGTTAATCCTGCTTTAACCGTACATAACTGGTCCATACTGGTTCTGATCTGTAAATAAGTGTAACGTATTATAAATAATCTTGTCTCCTTACCATCTTTTCATTTTCTGTTCATGTAACATGTTAAAAAAACATCTGTAATAATAAAACTGGTGATAAAATCAATGACCAGAAAGAGTTATCAGTTAGTATTTTTAATAAATGTGTTCAAATATCAAACAGCTAAATAACATTAACATGATGACAGTAGAAGTCCTCTCTCCCGGGATGACCACCAGGTAAAGCCTCTCCTGACCCTGGACACCTGCAGTCCTACAGAGAAAATCAGGCCACAGGTGACAAAAAGGCAATAAACACATTTTTACATTTATCCACATGAGAAGATAAAACTTTTATTCTTCACACAAACTTTTTACTTCATTAAAACGTGTCAGCTGTGTAACTCCCCGAAAGTAAAACTACTTTTCACAGAAGAACTTCTGTGGTTGTGTGGGTAAACAGCTTCACTCTTCACCTCTAAGCTTAATAAAAATGCTTCTTTGCTCCGTTGTCCTTAAAACAAATGACAAGTTTAATTCGCCACGCACACACACACACACACACACACACACACACACACACACACACACACACACACACACACACACACACACACACACACACACACACACACACACGGGAATAACTGGGACCTGTGAAACAAACTCGTTCTGGCTGATTTCTGCCTAAAATGTAATTTAAAAAACAAACATAAAAACGAAAAATATCTATAAACTGAACCGCTTTAAGCTTTTTAGGTTTCTTCGGCTAGTTTTTAACAAACTTACGTTTAAAACTTCGTAGCTCTCCCCATTTTCTCTCCCTGTTGAAAATCCACAGCCGGCGTGCAAAGCATGCTGGGATAGCCTTGTTCTGTGAGGATACAACAGACCCGTCCTCGAAATGTGGGCGGAGCGAGGACGCGTTTGAGGACGCGAGAATGAGTATTTTTGGAATTCGGACAGTACTCGTTGCTGCGCTGTGACGTCATCGCACTCTTACAAGCATCTTTCCCGTGGATTCGGACACACCCGTAAATAAACTGCCAAGGTCTCCTACAAAAGCCCTTCTCTCTGCCCAGACTGCTGGATTCCTCACTCTGAATAAAAGTGAATCTTCACGAATCCAACAAGGCTTTACTACCTATAAGTTAATTAATCATATGGTTGAATGAACAAGATGTTTAAATGAAAATGTTTGACTAATCTGTGCTTAAATCAATGAAGTAGAAATGAATATTGCTCTTACAATGATCCATTGCAGATATTATGATAAGTTTGTGTTAGATTTAAGAAGTTAATCATTATCTACACTCGTACACATCTTCATAAGATACAAATTAAGGTTAAGGTTCACCTCACATAACTGTTTTAAGCCATTCTCATTCACAGTGTTACAAACATTTTTGTATCTGAGGAGGATGTGGCTTTCTGATAGATGTTGGTGAATACCCAGAAACTTGTCAAATTCTGATTGGCCAAACTTGGCCAGAGATCATAACAAAGTAGTTTAATAAAACAAGAACTACTTCCCGGGTAATTCAGTTTCTAGCGGAGTTCCAAACCGGCCAATTCGGAACAAGCATCCTTGAGATATCTCTTTTGACATACAGTCAAAAGCCTGTTTGCACGCTGCAAGCTGACACAGCCAGACGGCTCCCTAAGAGCCACATCCACTTTGGACACAAACAAGCATTCCAGCTACTGTTGTGACCTGGAGACATCTCAGGGTCATACCGGACGGGTCGCATTGGAGTTAGTCTACTGGCTTCAGGTACCGTGAAGTCCACCTGACTTCTGACAGTACGGATCTGTTGGGGGTCTCCGCCAAGGTTTGTAGACACAACAGATTGGGTCTGATGCTTTTTTATTAATAATCAACTCTCTAGTTTATAGCGGACAACAAATTCTTTTACACCCAGATTTCACAATTTCTTTCAGATTCAAAGATTCTGATAAACATCTAGCTTACATCACACCACCTACACATCGCATTCCATTACCGCATATCCACTCCATCACATCTCATTATTCATATCTTGACACGTATAGTCATTAATTTAGAAAAAAATAAAACTCCTTTTTAACTATATACCTGACTCCATCTGAATTAATGCAAAGTGTGTTTATGGTCCCTGAACAAGTAAAAGTAACTATAATCTTTTGATTAATCATTCAAAGATCAATCAGGTTGATATTTCATAGTTCTTTGGAATCATCATATCTTATTGGTCATGATTAATTTGCAGTTGTCACGCTATAAAGTGTGACCGCTACACAATCTAGTCATTTACTTCAACTTTGTTTTGTGTGTTTCCAAGGCTACGCCATCCTGCAGGCCATCATGGAGAAAGCAGGACAGAACAACTGGCAGGTCAGCGCCATCTGTGTGGAGACTTTCAATGATGCCAACTACCGACAGCTGCTGGAGGATCTGGACCGGCGTCAGGAGAAGAAGTTCGTCATCGACCTGGAGGCCGAGAGGCTGCAGAACATGTTGGAACAGGTGATGCGATCAGATCTCATTTTAATAAGCCCTTTCCAGAAAAGGTGTTTTTATCTTCTTCAGTTATTATGATCATAACCTAATTACATGAATGAGTGTCTCTCTGCAGATGAAATAATGTAATGCCTTTTGCCGAAAGCATTCTGGGTTTCTGTGCAGCACTCATGAGGAGACTTAAGATTTAATTTTCTTCCAGCTCTTGGAGAGTTCAGACGCTTTTTTCCTCCTCTCCTCCCTATCTTATCCCAAGGCTCTTTTTCTGTCTCTGGCTGTACGGCTGCTTTTGCATTTTTTCTGGAAACTGGAAACTGAAATTCTTAAAATGTACCTGGTCAGTTGGTCACGTAACGCGATTGACAACATTTTTTCAACAATGAGAACGGGAGAAGGGGCTCCCGGGTGCCCCTCTGGGACAGAGCCAGCTGGGCATATCATGGACTCCTGGAAACAGTGGAACCTGATTTGCCTATCTCAGCTGTCTGTAGAGGATTCTGAAGATGTCTGGATATTTGTGGTGTTGGTGTCGGGTTTCCTGCTCTTTGGCCTGGGAGGCTTCCTGGCTTACCGGAAAATTAATGAGTTGTTGAGGAATATTGGCGCTCTCCCCGAGGTCAGCGCTGTGAATTCACAGACTCATATAATTGTTGAAATGAGTCGTAAGCTTGGAACTTTGGCTGAGATTCATGCGTTGGCACAAAAGATGGATGCCATCAAGGAGCGAGTGGACGAATCAGCATGGATTGGGATAGATTAATTTACGCCATTATTGGGATTTTGAGAGGTTGAGGGCCAACGTAACTTTAAGACAGAGAGGAAATTATCTCTGTCTGGCCCCAAAACAATTTCTAATCTGAATCTGGTGCCCTTGAGCCTGTGAGGCTGCAATGAATACTCCCCCCTCAGAAGAAATGTGGAATGCTGCCGTCGCTATTGCAACTCTGTCTCCCTATCCCAGCCTGGGCGGGACTGCGAGCTGTGAAGGCCGCCGAATCATTCCAGGAGTCACTGTGCCCTCCAAAGCCCAACGACCTCACTCCCCTGTCCAGACTGAGGTGACGTGCGCTGCTTATCGTGGCTGCATGCACTGACGTGTGGGAAGTCCCAAACCCACCACCCCACCTAGTGGACACTTATGTTGTGTTATGTCTGAAGTCTGTTGCATTTCTGTCTGAGGTGCTTTTTGAAAAGCAAAGCTGCCCTCTCTGTGGAGGGTAACTCTGAAGTGCCTTTTTTTTTCCTCCACCTGAACCGGGGGTCGGCAACCCACGACTCTGGAGCCGCATGCAACTCAATCCATCTGATGCGGCTCCCTGTGCTTGTAAAATAATGAATGGATATCTAAATAAAATGCTTTATATTTTACTGCATTAATTTTACATCTGTATGCCAATTCTAAATGTAAAGATTGTCTGCGTAAACCTGAACAGTTCCAACCCGGTCTTACTCTGAGACCGGGTTGACGCGTCACGCTTGTGCGTAATCATAGGCACTTTCTGAGCTGACGAGGATGTGAGATTCTGGGATTCTCCTCAGACGGCTCCTGGATGTGTCGCCACATTGGAGACAGGAACAAGCGCTATTCAGCCAAAGTTTCATAATCAGGGAACATTTTCTAAGTGACAAGTCTCGCTTCAGTTGGAGGAATCTTCCCGCATGCGCTCTGGTTCTGCGACGCGATCCAAGCTCCTCTCCACATCTTCAGCTCGCTGTGTACCTTATGTAGTACACGCTGACAGCGAGCTGCGCTGAGCAGTATCCAGCTCAGATGTTCAGATGGGAATCTTTTCTTGAGTGATTTAGCAACATCTGCGATGTGCGTAACGAATAAAGTGTCAGTTCGTCTGCATGCGTCGGGGTAATTCTTTCTATTCTTTCTCCGTCAAAATAAACGGTCAAATACGGGAACTGTCCAGTCAACACAAGCCCTGCTTTTAACTGATCTGTTTTCTTGTGAAAATTGTTGCAAAGAGATATAATTTAACTTGATTAACACCAGAGCCAGGCGCACTGCGCCGTTATCTCCGTCACTGTAAACGAGGTAAAAACAAAATGATCGGATCCTTTTCTGACCTCCCACACCTACAAAGTTTAATTACAACAATCAAACATGACAGAGACTGGATTTGTATTCTGAACAGTCTAAACATGTTTTAAAAAGAAACGTATGACAAAAGTGGCACCTGCTCAGTAAAACCACCAACAGGGTGAAAAATATCAAAATATTGTAGCAGAGACGGGCTACAACTTCTGGATCCATTTTATATAAATCGTTTTATTGATTATCGTCTTATGAAAGATAACTTTGACGTACACGAGCGACCGGTACTGGCTGCTGTCACCTGTTGTGATTGGTTAAAGCAGCTCTGCTGTCTGAGGGTAGGCCCCGCCCACAATGCCGCGGCTGCTGTGGCTCCCAGTGTTGTCTTTACTGTGGGAAACGGGTAATAATGGCTCTTTGATGGGAACAGGTTGCTGACCCCTTACCTGAACCGATGCTCATGTAAACCCTCCGATCTCTATTAAGGTAGCGCGACTCAGGGTTGCGAATGACCACAGTCACCAATTCTTGTCATGTGTCTTTGCCTATGTATGTCTGATCTCAGAATTGTGTGTACTGAAACTCTAATTTCCCTCTGGGATTAATAAAGTATCTTAGAATTGAATTTTATGGTCATTAAGGTGATTCTTTAACGGTGCTTAGATGAAGGGTGGACCCTCAGATACATGTCTTAGGTCCTATTTTAGATGTTTGCATGATTTTGTTAAACATGCATCATTCAGAAACTTTTCTTCTATTGTCATTCACATTTTTTTAGATTATAAAAGAAAACATGACAGGAAATCCAAACCTACTTGACATTTAGTTCTGTGGTTGATTTAAAACATTTATGACCTTCTTTGCACTAAATTTGTCTCACATAAAATTATTTCAGCAGTTTTATTCCATACGGTTCCAACACCTTCTAGAATAAGCCGACTCTGTCACTTTAAGAAACCAAGCTGGAGCTGGCCATGCAAACCCATCCTCCAAATCATGCTGCTATAAGTTGAGAAGCTCAGAGTACAGTTGCTCTTCATTCAGCAACAGCTCTCTTGCATGTGAGAGGTGATTCTATGCTAAATTCCCCGTTTGTGATGTCACAAATGGAGACTTTTTCAAATGGCTCTTTTTAGACACTCAATCCTGAAACCAAGCACTCACAGACAACGGAAGGAGTCATTTTCACGTTTGAAATCAGTAGAGAAGCACATGGCAGCAGAAAATGATACAAACACTGACTTATGCACGATATGTCCCCTTTAATCACAACCTGCACTCACTAAAAACCTGAAAAGGGCATTAAGATGGGATTTATTTTAGTAAAATAAGCTAAATAAGTTTCTCTTTGCCTGATTTTAACTCTTCTTTAGGCTTTCTGTTAGTGTTTTTGAGCTGAGCTCAGGTTGGTTTCTTCTAAAGGATAATTCAATTAGACGAGCGGACTCAGACCTCCTCTCATTTACACCCAGGCCGATGGACAGGAATGAAAACATGATAATTAGGTTAAATATATTTTCAATTTTAACTCAACTGTTGGGTTCAGTGGAAACTTTATCAGTAATTTGTTGATGACAGGAGCCCCAAGCATCATCTTCAAAGAGCTGTTTACCTGTTTTACTGTTTTCAGACTAACTGGAAAAGGTTTGAACTTGTTTTGATCTCCATGGCTGTTGGCATAAGCACACTCAGAATATGATGTGCACCTTCCCTCCTCCACCTCCTCCTCCTGCTCAGCCTCATCCCTCCATCGGGTATCTGCTTGTTCTCCAGTTTTTTTTTAAATAATTCAGAGAGTCTCCTGCCTGACATCTGTCACTTTACCCTGCAGATGTGTACAGGTGTGTTTCTGCCTCTCAGGTGGCTGAACCAAGCTAAACCGAGCCACACCTCACACCAATATCACTTCTGCAGCACTGAACTAACTAATGATCCTGATCCAGAAATGGGATGCAGATGTCTAAATTGGCCCTAATTAGTTGTTAATTTTTATATTTTGAACAGCAGGGTCAGCAAATCTCACTGCTTTGAAGAAATCAGATGTTACAGTGCAAACTCCAGATGAAAACCTGCCCAGTTTGCAGATCAGGACATAATAAGGTGGAAGCTGATTTGTGTTAAAGTGAATTAAGTGAGGAGTCTGTTTATGTGATTAAAAATGGTTAAAAGTGGAGCAGATGTTAATAAAGTCTCACTTTAGCCTCTCTCCTCTGATATGGAGCATGTTTGCTGTTTTACACAAGTCAGTTTTATTTTAAATCAAAATATTTAAGTTAAATACAGATGAAGTCTTTTCTGACTAAAGCCTGGCCTGGCCAGCCATTCCAGTGCTTCCTTATGGGAAACAAAGGGCCGGGTAACGCTCCCACTAAAATAACCCCGCCTCTTGAGAATTCTAACCCGAGCCAATCAGCGCTGAGCAGCATACGTCACACACGGCGACGCTCAGATTCTCATAAACAACGAAGATGGCATTTGAAGCGGCATTCACTGCGGCTCTTTCCTCTGTTCTGAATGACTTGGACATGTTTTTAAAATCACGAGAAGAAGAGCTAAAAGCCTTTCTTCTAAAGAAAGACGTTTGCACCGTCGCCAGACGCCATTTTTGACTACAGCTAAAAACATTACAGAGTCGCGTGATACAGTCGTCATTACCACCTTTTTTCTGATTGGTTATTTTTGTGCTGGCTAGTCCCTCCCCTCGTGGTACTCTCTGCCTCTGAAACCCTTTTCAGACAGACATTCTGGAACATTTGCGGACAATTCAATCCGGTTTTTAACCGGAACGGTGTTTTCAGACACACCACTTTTGTACCGGAACTTGTCCTTTCGGCTGCGTTCACACAGCAGGGAAAAGTTCCAGATGTCTGACGGCGGCGGGGGGGGTGGGGGGGGATCTGACTTATGTTAAGAAGAAGAAGGAGAAAATATCATTTCTATTGCGCCTCTCAAGATAAAAATCACGAGGCGCTTAAGCATAATTCTGCGCACACGAAGACGCATAAGAGACCTGGATGATGAAGCTCAATGGTTAAAGTAATCACTGAAGCGGTGTGAAGCGCTCCATCGCGCGCCTAGACGGTACCGTAGGAGGCGAGCTGCCGTGGTTCGCCGCATGCTACAGGAGCGAGCTATTTAGGTGCGCACAGCGTCCCCCGGTCCCCTCCTCCTCCCCCTCCCTCTTGTCTGGAACTTTACCTCACCAGTCTGAAGCCCCCTTCAGACAGGCCATGAAAAATGGAAATGTTCTGGAATCTGTCCGTGAATCAGCCACCCTGTCCGTAACAAGTCCGGACCTGTTACTAGGGGCTTCGTCCGGATAAATTCCGGAACACGTTATCCGGATGTTTGTATTCAGACAGAAAGGTCTTACGGACAGATTCCGGAACATTTCCGTTTTTCATGGCCTGTCTGAAGGGGGCTTGAGTGTCCTCTGTGTAAACTCGACAGAGGGCGAGTCTGGCAGGCCAGGCTGAGGGCTGCAGCAGTCTGGAGAAGACAAATGATTTCCATAATGTTCATAAATTTATTCGATAACAGAAAAACAGGATTGCTTATCTTGGGATTTAAACCTTAGTCATATGTGAGGTGTTGGGATTTTTTTACAGATTTTTTTAAAACGTTATTTATTTTGTGATTAATTTGACTAAACTGTGAGTCTAACAAATGTTTCACTTTGAGCTAGGCAGTTTTGTCGTGCTTTTAGCACCCCCTAATGTCCGTTTGTAGATCAGAAAGCAAAACCTATCTCCTCATTGAGCCTCAGCTGTGTTCATGATCTAAAACAAAGGTGTCGAACTCCGGTGCTCGAGGGCCGGTATCCTGCATCTTTTTAATGTTTCCCTGCTCCAACACAACTGATTCCCTTGTGCAGCTGAAGCCTGGTAATCACCCGCTGATTGAAATCAGGTGTGTTGGAACAGAGAAAACACCAAAACATGTGGGATAGCGGCCTTCAAGGACTGGAGTTTGACACCAGGCTGCAGCACCAGGTATGTCAGCTCAATCTCTTTAACTCCCAACAGAGAGGCCCACCGGTCTGAAGTTGCAATTGGTCAATTCTGGCCACAGGGGGTGATAGGGACTGGGTGTCCTTTCATGAACCCTGTAAAGCTGGGGTATTCAATTCTGGTCCTGGAGGGCCGTATCCATGTTTAGTGTGCTTCATCACACCTGATTCGGTGGTTGAATCACCAGTGCAGCAGCTCATTGGGCTCTGCAGAAGTATGTTATTACCTGCTGATAGAAATCAGGTGTGCTGAAGCAGGGTTAAAACTAAAATGTGCCCACCAGGACCGGAACTGAATACCCCAGCTGGGTATTTAGCACATTTGGCTCGAAAAAACAATTTTAAATGATTGGAAATTTGCAAAGTGTCTCTTTAATTAAATATTTACAAATTTCATTTCAATTTCAATAAATTACGAAACAATAAAACCAAGAACAATTGACACTTAGCGTCACTTTAATTGTTGGTTTTCTTTCATTTTACCTGATTATAAATACAAACATATCCAAACATCACCTTAGATTAGATGAAGTTAGTACGTGGGTAAAAACTCCATCCTTCAGTTTTCATCCACTCTGTGAGACGGCAGCGTTTCTAATCCGATTAGTGATGAAACTGGTGAGAAAACGCAGCCAGTGAGTCACAGCGAGATGTGGGCTCAGCTTCCGGCAGCTCATTAATGTTGATTCAGTGGCAGGAGAGTTTTAAAAACCCATCAGTGACGCAGCCTGCGACAGAACAGAAAACACTTCTTTTTCTTGTTCACATCATTATTTTTCTGCTGACATCAGCAGAGACGTCTTTTGCTCAGAACAGACTGCTTTTATTTTAGTGATTAACTTTCTATCAGGACTCTATTATCTGGACAAAACCATGAGCTGCTGGTCTGAGAAGTTGTGTAAAACCTTAAAATTTGCTCCTTCGTGCTCCGTTCTCGTCATTGTGCGATGATTGTTAGCAACTAGTTAGAGACTACTTGTTTTAGTTGGAGTCTGAGCTGTGAGGAAATGACATCCATCCGTCTTTCAGGCTGTTTTCTTGATGAAATTCTATCACAAGGAGTCAAAATTGTGTCTTTTTGTGTCATCAAATATTTATGACACAATAACAAATATTTGTTCCAAATCAAAACCCAAACCCAAGTTGGATCTTCTTCACATTAAGCTGGATGGACCTCCGTGTTGAACGCACCTCCCCTCACCTGTCGTGTGCATCATTTAAAGTAATTAACACACGTTATGCTGTAATCCACTCAGATTAACTCTGATTTGCTTTCTCACAGATCGTTAGCATTGGGAAACATGTGAAAGGATACCATTACATCATGGCCAATCTGGTGAGGAAAACCACCGTTTTGAATGTCTTCTTGAATGTTTTTCACGTTATTTACCACCAATGATTTAATCTATGCTTGAACTCACCTGGAAGAGCAGATTTTAAATCAAATGATGACTTTTCCCTCGTGTTGTCCTTGAAGGGGTTTAAGGACATCAACCTGGAGCGCTTCATGCATGGAGGAGCCAACGTGACGGGCTTCCAGTTGGTGGACTTCAGCAACCCTATGGTCATCAAACTGATGCAGCGCTGGAATAAACTGGATCAGAGAGAGTATCCAGGCTCAGACGCCCCACCTAAGGTATGGCAAGTCAAAATTAGATTAAATCTGACCAGGAGTGCATCACAGCATTCTTTGTTCTGCCTTAAAGAGCCGAGCTGCTTTAAAACAGACTTTATCTGACTTTAGATTAAGAAAAAAGATGGCAACTGTTTAAATTTGTCACCACGTAAAAAAAAACACCATCAATATTAGTTAACATGGATTCATGGTGGGCAAAATACTTTCAGACATTCATGCACTTAGCTCATGCAACAAAACTAAAAACGTTGTTAAATGTGTTAAATTTATTGTTGCAAAAATTCACCAAAAACATCAAACTTTTTGCAACTAATTTACATTTAAGAGTTCTTTTTGTAGATACTTAAAATGAAGAATAAAGCCAAACTTTAGTTAAACCTGAAGTTTGTTTTCCACTTTATGAATGAAAAAATGTTTTTTTCATAGAACTGACAGCTGGTTTTAGGTTCAGATCATCAGAAAAAAATAAGTAAAAATGTAATTCTCCTAAAAATGTAAAATATTTGATTGGCTTCCAGACATGATGCTGTTTACAAAAAAAAATAACAATATTTTTCTGCAGCTTCTCTGCTTTAATTTGCAGCTGCAAACTCCTGAAAATGAAATCTGTTATGAATCCAGCTTGTTTTTTTACTATTACACCCAAAATTAAAGAATATTGCCTTGTTGTTTTATTAATTTTTAGAAAGACAAAAGCCAAATATGAGGAATTCGACCAAGGAAAAACACACATCGATAAGGATCAGGCATCTACGTGGACTGCCTGCTTGTCTATGCAGCGATGTGACAGACTGACCCACTTTAGATTCTTTTCAGCCACAGTTTGCAAATGGCAACGGGGCAAGAAGGCATCGCGCTGCGGCGGTTCACAAACCTCCTCCCTTTAGCAAATATGTGTGTCCAGCAAAGATTTCTATTTCAGAAAGACGATGCAGTGGAGTGGAAGGTGTGTGTGTGTGTGTGTGTGTGTGTGTGTGTGTGTGTGTGTGTGTGTGTGCGCGCGCACGCGTGTGTGCATTCTTGTATTTCTACCCTTCTTGAGACCAGTGACGGGAAAACTACCTTCCATATTGGGGCCGATGGACGAGTTAGGACCAAAATCATGGTCCCAGTACGGAGTCTTACTAAAACAGACATGGGATAACTATATAATTCCCCTAGTGGTAAAATCCAGTAAAATTATTATGGCCCTAAAAAGACTGTATTTCTACCAGAGGAGTGTTTATGTCATGCACCCCCACTGGTCAGATTGTGTAATTACAAGTGTGTATATTTATGTGTGCAGACACACGAATTGCACTTAGTGAGAAATTGAATGTGACACTTTTGTGGGCTTATATCTCTGGCTCTGAATAAGATAGAGAGGTCCGGTCTGTTTTGTTGCACTCCAACTAACACCCTGTGTCCTGTACAAAAGTAATGGAGTGGAAAAATTGCTTCGTTTTTTTTTACCCAGAATTATGTCGTCCAAAGCACGATTTTACTATTATTCTGGGTCCAGTTCAGAGACGGAAAGTACAATCAGGCTGAATCTTTACATGAAGGTAGAGGCTATTGAGTTATACATGCAAACGAAATTTCAGGTTGATGGCATATTCCTGAGGGTGTCAAATCTGTGCCCAAATGTCACCTTTGACAATAGCACTAAGTGAGACATGCAATGTGCCACCTTTGTGGGCTTATAACTCAGGCTCTGAACATCTGAGAGAGGTCAGATTTTTACTGTAAATAATTGTCTGCTATTTGTACAAAAGGAATCGAGACAAAAGACTGTATAGGTTTTAAATGGCAGCTGTAATTATGTGGTTGTACAGCCAAATTTCACTTTATTTTCAGTCCAGTTCCGTGATACAAGGTCCGATCAGCCTGAAATTTTACAGGAAATTGTGGGCCAATAAGATATAAGGGCTTACCAACTTTCAACTTGATAGCTCCTTGCTAAGGTGGTCAAGTGAGGTCCCAAAGGTCACCTTGCAGAATTGCACTTAGTGAGAAATGCAATATCACAGATTTGGGGCCCTGAACAAGATACAGAGGTCCGGTCTGTTTAGTTATACTCCAGATAATAATCTGCTATTTGTACAAAAGGAACGGTGTGAAAATATTGTATGGTTTTTAAATTGCACCCAGAATTATGTGTTCACACGCATGATTTTTACATAATTCTGACACTAGTTCAGAGCCTGAATGTGTCATTACTCCCAAATTTTACAAGAAAGTATGGGCAAATAAGATGTAAGTGATTACCAACTTTCAGCCTGATAGCACCTTGCTAAGTGGGTCAAGTGAGGTCTCAAAGGTCACCGGGCAAAGTGGTACTTTAGGGCCGATTTCAGATTACACATTTGTGGGCCTATAACGTAGGCTCTGAACATAGGAGAGAGATCAGGCCTGTTGTGTTAGACTCTGAATAACAGCCTCCATTATCCACAAAAGGAATCGAGTCATTACCATGTATGGTTTTTAAATGGCACCCAGAAATATGTCATCTGACGCACAATTTTACTATTATTCTGTCCAGTTCATAAACAGATGGTCCAATCAGGCTCACATTTTACAGTGAAGTGGAGACTAATAGGTTATAAATGCTTACCAACGTTCAGCCTGATAGCACCTTGTTAAGGGGGTCATACCAGGTCCCAAAAGTCACTGGGCCATGTGTTAGTTAAAGGCTGTTTTCAGATTACAGCTTTGCAGGCTTATACTGTATCTCAGGCTGTGAACAACCTAGAAAGACCAGGTCTGTTTTGTTATGCTCTAATCCATGGTCTGTATCCTCCACAAAAGAATTGGAGTCAAAAGGATATATTGTTTTTAAATGGCACCTAGAAATTTGTCGTCTGACGCACGATTTTAGTAATATTCTGGGTCTAGTTCAGAGGTAGAAGGTCCAATCAGGCTCAGATTGTAGAGGACAGTAGGGACCAATAAGATGTAAGTGCTTACCAAACGTCAGTCTGATAGACCCTTCCTAAGAGGGTCAAATCAGGTCACAAATGTCACCGGGCAAAGTGGTTTCTAAAGGCCGATATAATGACACATTTGTGGGCTTATAACTCAACCTCTGAACATCATCGAGAGGTCAGTTTTATTATACTATAAATAATAGCCTGTTTCCTCCATAAAAGGAATGGAGTCAACCCTTTGGGTCAAGAGTGGTAAAACCATCCTCGGTCACCAGAGTTGGCCCTGTTCTGCTGGGGTGATGATGAGCAGGCACCCCCACCCAATGCCGAGCAAAGTAACCCACCGCCCCAGGCCTCAACCAGATTGCCAGCTCCCACCCACTTGGCTCTTCCTTTTTCCATCTCAGGAACATTGATAAGCTGAGTCCCATTCTGTCCTGCTCTAAGTTTGACATTATTATCCACACCTTTATCTCCTCATGCTTAGACTATTGCAACTCGTTTTTCACTTGTTTCAAGCAAAACCTCCCTGAACCGTCTACAGGTGGTTCAGAATGCCTGTGCTCAGCTTCTGACCAAATCGACAAAACACATTCACATCACCCCGCTTCTCCTCCAGCTTCACTGGCTGCCAGTCAACTTCAGGGTTCATTTCAAGATCTTGGTTCTGGTTTTTAGGGCCTTAGATTGACAAGCACCAGAAAGTGAGCTTAAGAGGCTTCTTCTTTAGTAAGGAGCCTTCTCTTTCACCCTCCCTCACTATCTGCTGCGAGCTAGAGCCATCACTTCATTATTGCCTCTACATCTGCTTCAGCAACACACAGACAACCAGGTTTCTTTGTTCTGCACCTATGGATATAAGAAAATGGATCCACAACTACATTAAACATTTATGTGGTATTTACCAGTATAGTATAAAGTATACTACTAAAGGTGTGGATAATTATGATGCGTCACTCGTGTGCAAGAATGCGTCCCAAAGTGCACTTTACAAAAACCCTATTTGTTTGTATTGCCTTTTTGGCTCATTTGGAGGTCACAGTGTGGGTCACGGGAGTGGGTCATCATCATAACACCCCCACCCCCCGAGTCAATATGACAGCTCCACTCCTGGTACCCTGTCATACGCTTTTTCTAAATTTACAAAAACACAATGCAGATTTGAGGTAAACAGTGGCTATTTGTAGGTAACTAACAATGGAGATCACATCTTGAGCTGTATTTAAAGCTTGGAGTGAAGGCCATAGCTAGCACTAGACATTAAGCCAGGTGTGGGGAACTCTGGTCCTTGAGGGCTGATATCCTGCATGACTTTGCTCCAATGGACCAGGATTCCCCACCCCTGTGTTAGGCTAATGGTGGCCGAGGCTAAAGCTTTAAGCTAAGCTATCAATGGAGACTAGCAGAGGACAAAGCATGAGCTATATGCGAAACTAGCATATTACCAATGCTACTTGATTTGGAGAGAGGCATTAGTTATTTGTGATTGGACAGTTAAGCTTGGCTGGTCAGAGCAGTGCTAGAGCGACATACTCCTCCATTCTGAGATTTGTTGTAGAAAAAAAAGTGGTAAATTGGTCAATAAAATAATAAAAACATTTAAGTTTTTTATTTTATTTTTGACCAAAGGTAGTTAAAGTAAAACACCATATAAAAAACGAAAAACAAAATCTTTATTAATTAAAAAACTAATGATTGTTAACAAATAAATTTAAAAAAGCAACTTGTTAAGTACATTGAAACTCTTATTAGTTAGCATGTCCATTTTTTCCTCAGTCAGTTTAAAATGTTAACATAGAAAAATCTTTTTTGTGTACTGAAACCTGATACACACACAAGACTTTTGCGGTCCCCACAAGACCTACGCCCATCCCCCTCTAGTACATTTCTGGGTAAACTAAAACCTAATACACACACCTGACTTTTGCAGTCCCAACAAGACCAACGCCCATCCCCCTCTAATACATTTTTGGGTAAACTGAAACCTAATACATACACCTGACTTTTGCAGTCCCCACAAGACCTACAGCAATCACCCCCCACCCCCCGAATGAGCTAAAAATCTGGAAATATTCATAAGAGCAGCTACCAATG